AGTAGATAATTATCCTCACTGAAACACTTTTTATTTTTAATGTGGATTTGAATCACCATCTGGGGTCATTTGCTTTCAGTTTGAAGAAAACTTCCTGTAATATTTCTTAGTAAGCACGCCTGCTGGTGACAAATTCTTTCAGTTTTTTGTACATCTGCGAATGTCTCTATTTCATATACATATTTATTTTAAAGGATAGCTTTGCTGAATATGATTGTTGGTTGACAATTTTTTTCCTTGAGCACTTTGAACATGTTATCCCACGTCTGTCTGGCCTTCATTGTTTCTGTGAAATTTTTAGCTGTTACTTTTATTAGGGTTCCCTTGCAAGTGATGAATCGATTTTCTCTTGTTTTCAGCATGTTCTGCTTGGTTTTGGCTTTCAGTGTTTTCACTATGATGTGTCTATTTCTGAATATCTTTGTGTTTATGTTCTTGTAGTTCATTGAGTTTTCTGCGTGTATAGATTATTTTAAAAATTCAGGTTTTTAATTATATTTTTTCTGTTTCTCCTTCTCCTCTCCTGGTATACTCACTGCACATTTGTTGGTGCACTTAATGGTTTTATACTTTTATCTGAGGCTCTGCTGATATTTCTTTGTTCTTTTTCTCTCTATTCTTTAGTTTTCATATTCCTTACTATTGTATCTTTTTGTTCACTAATCATTTCTTTTGCCAGTTCAAGTCTACATTTCCGTCACTCTAGTTTATTTTTTATTGTCCCACTAATGGGCTTTTTCTTCTTGCCAGGTGTTTTCCCCCATGGGTCATATTTTCTTCTTTCTTTGCATATCTCATAATCTTCTGTTGGAAACTAGGCATTTTAGATAATATATTATAGCAAAACTGGGTACTATCTTCTGGAGGCTTATTTTATTCGCTTGTTTATTGGTTTAATGACTGGCTGGGTTGTTTTAGTGAAGTCTATTTCTCCCTCTGTAGTATTAAACCTGTGATGTTTCACTTCAGGGAATCTCAGTCCTGGGGATGTCCATAGTTGCCTTAGAATTACAGCTGTTTGGGCAGGACTCTCCTTGATTGCTTTTTCCCGTGTCCAGGTCTAGCCGTTGAACTCCACTAATTACCAACAGCATTTACATATTGTTTGTAAGACTGCCTGGGAACCTAAATTGCTCTACAGACCAATCCATTCAAATTTGATCTTCTTTGAAAGAGTAGTTTCCTAGGTCAGAGTTCCAGATTTGTTGCGACCTAGGTGGGCTCCAGAGGCTCTCTCTTTCCAAGATTCCCTGCTTTCCACCCCCTGGGCAAAATCCTGAGCTATTGCCTCTGGAACTATTGTGAAGGTTATAGCATGTTTCTCTGAGGGACATCTATACCTTAGGATGGGGCATAGGATGCTGGGGGTAAAAATAGCCTCAAACCTTTTCAGCTTGCCTCTCCCAATGTAGAATGGGCTATGGAAGGAGCGATTGAGGCTCCATATTCTCAGTGGCACAGTGCCCACGTTGAGCCTCTCTCCCATGAGTGGGGACCAGGAGGAAGAAAATAGTCCCTGCCTCTTGACCACATTTACTTAGAACTTAGCTTGAATAGTAAGTAAGTAGGAGCAGAATGAGAGTGTCTGACATCTTACTTTTTCCCTAGAAAACAGTCCTCCAGCTGCTCGCTGCAGGGAGAGGGGCCCCTGTAGGTTCTTGACTAAACCAGTTTGGAGTGGAGTTTCTACCTCACTGAGCTAAGAGAAAGAAGAATGGGAGTAGGTTGTTGTTCACGCACCAGTCTTACCAAGCTCTAGTCGATTTTCTCGAATAAATGTTTCTTAATTTGCTACTTGCCTCCAGATCCATTTCCAGAATCTTAAAATGTTTTTCCATTTATAATTTTCACCAGTTTCACCGGAAAGCACATCTGTAGAGGTCCTTATGCTATCAGATTGAAATGAAATTCTCTGATAAGACATGTTTTTATAAGTAAAAAGAAACTATTAGATGATTGCTTAAGTTAAAATCAATGTATAAGACAATTAAATTTTATATGCCAGCAGCACTGAGTTGAAAATACATATTTAAAAAGGTAATGAATTTTAAACAGGTTTATTATTGCTATAAAGCATGTACAGCAGCAAAAATAAATCTAACAAAAAGTTGTGGACATTTTTGTAGTTAAAAACATTTTATTGACATATATTAAAGAATGTAAAGAAATATCTATCTTAATATAGGAGACTGATAATAAAGACGTAATTATCTCAAAATTGGTTAATATTTCAATATAACTTCTAAATTTTATAGGAATTTTTATAGAATTTGATCTGATTCTATATTTTTTAGAGAATAGCAAATAAACAATAATAGCTAAGACATTCTTAAAGACGAACACGGTATGAGAAAATACTGTAACCAATATCAAGATTTATGATAAAGTTTTCATACATAAGAAACAGGATATTCATGCGGGATTAGAGAACCAGATTTTTGAAACACAATAGAGATCTCTTAAAAGAATGAGGATGTATAAAAATTTCATTTGTGAGAAACTGAGCTCTGACGACCAGTAGGTAAGTGATAAGTTACTCCGTAATTAACATTGAGAAACTCAAATTTTAGTATAGAAAACAATCAAATTAATACAACCTAAAATAATTTTATGTAATTAAGAATGTTTAAAATAAGGCTTGAAAACACAAATTATAAGAGAATGATAAGATTAACTATATTACATTCAAAATTTTAAATGAAATGAAAAGACATCATGTGTGTTAAAGAAGAAACCTTAACTTTGTATAAGATATATTTGCAACATTTAAGATTTAAAAATTTATTCCAAAGACAAAAATTTGAGTTATGTGAAACTACTAAAATTCTGTAGTTTTTGATGTGTACAATAATGACAATTTCATTTAGCCGAATGAAATAACTGAAGTAAATTGAAAACAAATACAAACACCAATACAAAAATAGAAAAAAAAAAAAAAAAAAAAAAAAAAAAAAGATGAGTAGGTAAACAAGGAATTGATGCTGCCTGGAACTGACAGGTAAAATTTAACAAGAATGATTCCTAGACTTCCTTTCCTCAGTCAACAATTTTGTGAGTGTTGAAAGGAGAACAAGATAGGCAAATTCCAGGATTGGTAAAAAAAATATATCTACATATGAATTTAGTGTTAAACCCACCAATGTTTTCTCAGTAATAAAGGAGATAGCTTTGTTCTGCAGCAAGCAGTATTCCTGCTGCAGTTTCTAAATTATTATAGTAGGCTATTAAAAAGGAGAATATGCAAAGATTATTTCTCATATAAATAATGTCAACCACAAAGAGACAATTGCCTCATTTCACTTTTATTAATTGTATCTTGAAGAACAAATCCTATTTTATATTTTGAACTATCATATATAAAACCATCCAGAAATGTGTCTTGTGTTAATTAACTGTACTCAAACTTGTCACATACTTTCTGAAAATACAACACAACTATATATTCTATATCTGTTTTGAGATATTGTTCCTTGCTTTTAGCTCCATCTAGTTATGACAATAAAGATTACTGGATCATTTGGTGTATGACTGCTTAACCTCATTAGAAATCTCTTTTTCTAAGTATATTCAAATTACTATATAATGATATACAACCAGAAGGAATTCAGAAAACAACTGTTAATTCAGAGTCCTTTTTCTACTTGACTGCTTATTAGAAAAGCATTGTTAAGTCCTGTTTGTAACTTAAACAAAGCAAAATTAAATATATCTACACATCTATTTTGGGGAATGGCTATCAGTTTTTGGAAATCCTAGTATAGTGCTACATGGTACAGAAGTTTTATCAAGCTTATCTGAAGCCATTTGAATGGAATATCTCACTTAGTTGAGTATTTTGGAAACCAGTATGACAGTGATGATCAGAAATTGAATTGCAATAGCTTCAATTCATCCCTTTAATATGCAATGATTGATTAGGTAACCCAGTGTTCTGGGATGTATAATTTGCCAATATTTGAAAAAAATTAACCCAAATAATTATCTTGCCTAAATAACACTGTGCACAGTAACCAAAATGTGTTTATTTGCTTTTGGCTGTAAAATCAATAAGTGTTAATCAGCATTTCTATTTTGAGTAATGTATGTCTTTCAGTAATCAATATGAAAAAGTAGATTAACAACATATACAATGTGACTGCAGTTCGTGAGATGAGGATGAATGACAACAAAAAATTTCAACTTGTGGGTGAAAGGTTGAGAACTGTGGAGCTAACATGGGACCAATCGCTTCTCACTGACCAGTTTTACTTTGAACTGAAGTATGTTCTTAAGTATTGCTTAACTGTTGCTCCAAACAACCAGTACATATCTCCATATGATTAACTGACACATGAAAAATGGAGCACATGCTTTTGTGACTTCTCATTTTGTTCTTATTATGTAACCACTACAGGTCTTCTCTACAGAATTTTAATATGTACAGTGTATCTCTCCTTGGGATAGTAAATAGGGCTTTTGCAGTATCTTAATGTGAATACTCTAGGCCATGAATGACTCTCTTTTTAGGTACTTGTGGAAATCAACAAAATGCATCCTTGCAAAACTGTATTGTCATACACTCCATCTTTTCATACAGAGCTTCTCAAACATGTGTTTGAAACATGATGACATTCTATTCATTCAAATTTGCTTAACCCATTATCAGGCTAAATAAAGAAAATTAAGCTTATATATGGTTATACGGAGACCTGAGATAATATATGTCTTCTGAAGGTACACTTAAAGACTATTTTTGTAAAAGAAATATTTTGCGTTTTTAAGGTGATGATGGTAAAACTCCTTTGGTCTGTCAGGGGATCCCATTCATTCAACATGTTATGGTTGTCCTGGTCCATGCTGATTGAAAAAATGGAGAGTGGGGTTGGGGAGAAAGCTTGAGTGGGCCATTGAAGTTGGGATTGTCTTGAGGTTTGCAAAGAGTTCATGAACTAGAAAAACAAGTGTTATTTGGGCAGTCATTTTGAAACAATGCAAATTGTTGTAATTTTTACTTTTTCCAGATAATTCCCTCAGTATTTTGGCAAAGCACAATGGATTCAACCGCCAGAAGCAAGAAGTCTACCTTTTACCAATCATAATCAGTGATAGTGGAAATCCTCCACTGAGCAGCACCAGCACCCTGACAATCCGGGTCTGTGGCTGTAGCAATGACGGTGTTGTCCAGTCTTGTAATGTTGAAGCTTATGTCCTTCCAATTGGACTCAGTATGGGCGCCTTAATTGCCATATTAGCTTGCATCATTTTGCTGTTAGGTACGTATTTCCTTCATAGCCTGATGGTCACCCTTTTTCTGGTTGATAAATGACTATAAATAAGGACGGAAATCTCTGACCTAGCCAGGCAACAGCATTCTCTTGGGGAAGGCGAACTTCCTTTCCTTCTCTACATTTTGGGATCAGTAAGAAGTGAAGAGAAAAAGAGTTGTGATAGTAAATGTCCAGTTGAAGAGGACTTTCAGTGCCTTTTTCAATTCCATCACTGGTAAATGGTGAACAAGGCATAACGGTGGTGGCAGTGGGGGAGGGGCCTGTATGGCATTACACACCACGTATTACATAAGAAGAACTCCCAGTGTGAAGCATACCAGTTCACTGCAACAGCAGGCTCTACTACGCCCACAATAGTGTTTTATTATAGATTGGGTAGCTGAGTCCATCAGATCCCAAATTTGGTGATATGAAAAGAAAACAAATGAACAAACCAAAAGTAAGTTTTCTTCAAAATACCATTGCGTTTCTCTGATATTTTCCTTGACATAAACATCAAATTGATATTTTCCTTGATGTAAACATTAAATTAAAATGAAGATTGCAAATTAAGATTCTATAACATTTTAAAGAACCCAATTATAAAAATGAGACTAAAAAATAGGAAAATAGAAAAGAGATTCAGTCGTGTCTTACCCTACCCTTGAATAGCTAAACACCGTAAAGACGGTGTCAGTTACTCTTTGTCGTTCCATCTGTGCTGCTCACCCAGTGCCTTGGATATAATCATCACTTTGCTGGCATACTTTACTCCATTAGCCCACATTTGATTTGGCTGATCTAGCTAGTTGAGTATTTTTCCCTTTTCACATTTAGGTTTCCCTTCCCAGCTAGAGGCATTCCCATCCTCCCACAAGGCAAGTTGCCCATGCAAACTTGACATTCACTTTTATTTTTTGGTAAAATGACATAATTTAATTGGAGAGTGACTTGAAAAACTGTTAAAGCCCAAGGTCTTGGTTTTCTCCTTTTTTAAATAGAAGGGTGCTTTGGAACCAAAGGATGTTAAAGGACTTTCTTGAGACACACATCAAGCTAGTCATGCTTTCAGTGCTATAGTCTATTTTGTGCCATCCTCTCTAATGATCATAACAGTGTAAAATACAACTTTCACTACTAATACATGCATATCAATTATTTTAACCTAGCTCCACCACCATTTAATAAACAAATAATCTTAACATCTTTCAGAAAGATGTTAAGCTTAATTCTCTAGTAAATATTACTAAAGCCGTATGCTCTTACGATTTTGTAAAAATACCCCCTCTCCTAACATATATAGTGTGTTACTTGTACTACATGCTTGTTTGGCTGACTGTTATTTAATATTTTTCCTACAGTCATCGTGGTGCTGTTTGTAACTCTACGGCGGCATAAAAATGAGCCATTAATTATCAAAGATGATGAAGATGTTCGAGAAAACATCATTCGCTATGATGACGAAGGAGGAGGGGAGGAGGACACAGAGGCTTTTGACATTGCAACTTTACAAAATCCAGATGGAATTAATGGATTTTTACCCCGTAAGGATATTAAACCAGATTTGCAGTTTATGCCAAGGCAAGGGCTTGCTCCAGTTCCAAATGGTGTTGATGTCGATGAATTTATAAATGTAAGGCTGCATGAGGCAGATAATGATCCCACGGCCCCGCCATATGACTCCATTCAGATATATGGCTATGAAGGCCGAGGGTCAGTGGCTGGCTCCCTCAGCTCCTTGGAGTCCACCACATCAGACTCAGACCAGAATTTTGACTACCTCAGTGACTGGGGTCCCCGCTTTAAGAGACTGGGCGAACTCTACTCTGTTGGTGAAAGTGACAAAGAAACTTGACAGTGGATTATAAATAAATCACTGGAACTGAGCATTCTGTAATATTCTAGGGTCACTCCCCTTAGATACAACCAATGTGGCTATTTGTTTTAGAGGCAATTTTAGCACCAGTCATCTACAAACTCAACCACATTTTAATGTTGAACCAAAAAAAAAAAAGATAATAAAATAAAAAAGTATATGTTAGGAGGTTATAAATCTTGTGGAGTGTGAATTAAGTATGTGGAGTTTCTAGAAGTCCTTGGATATTTGCTATTTACCCGATTACCACAGACAAAGATTGGGATCCTGGCTAATCCTTAGAGAAGTGGTTTAAATAGAGGAAAAAATCAAAATTAAAAGGTGCTTTCTTAGAAAAAAAAAAAAATACGGACCTGCAAGGAATCTGCTGCTGATAGATGTCTTCTGCAAGGATTTTTATGAATGCAAATGGTTTTTTCCCCTTCACCAATAAGGATTCGCCACAAATGATAAAGCAATACTTGGTCTGCTGTACATTATAACTTTTTGGAGTTTTGAGAGGCCTCCTAGATTATATGGTACGGTGACCACACATTGTACATAATTGTTGGCCCCGCTCACCAGAAACTGAATAGCATCTTTAAATATTGTGTCGAGCCTTAAAATATTCACATGTTCGCAATCCATTCCAGGGTGGGGCTTACCAATTCAGTGGTGGGAGGAGAGAAATCCCATTCAAACATGCTTGTTTGCTAAAAGCAGGATTCCTCATTCCCTCCGCTTCATCTTCTTCCACAAGGACACAAAGATAAACTGTATCACACAGTGGACTACATAAGAGACAGATGGTTTTATTGCTAGCGCGTGAATTTATTTGTTTAATCCTCGAAATAAATATTTTATTGATGTCCATTAATGCTTTTATTTATTAAGGTTGGTAATCTATAGATTAAGGGGATATATGGAAAAAAACTAAATTATATCCATTAATAATCCTTTAGATTGTTTTATATAAATATATATACAATGAATGTTTAATACATGTACATTTTAATGAGTTGAGTATGGCAGGCAATATTATCAAAAGGAGAGCTAATAGTCTCTTTAGAGTAGAAAGTGTTATTGTAACTGGTCATGATGGCAGGAACAGCATTTTCCCAGAGAAACTTTTGGACTGTTTTCTATTTTGTTCATAATCCTAGTATTTGGTGTTTTTACTACAAGCACAAACATCCTAAAGTATATTGATTCTTGTGAATATTTAAACTCTAGACTTTTAGATACCTACATGATGCCCTGCCCAATAAACACGCTTCTAGTTATCCCCACAGTTTTAGAGCAGGAACTGATTTGTACATAATTTCACTGCTTACGTTTTTAGCACTCCTCTACCTGATCTTCATGGTGATGCACAGAATGTCTTAGACCCCAAAAAGGGACAGCACTAGGAGATGTGAGCATATTTAATTTGTAATGCAAACCTGCCATTTAGGAGTAGAAAATGTATGATAAAACTCAAGTATTACATGCAGATCATTTTAATTTTCTACTTTGCTTTAATGCAATATTGTTTATTTACTCCATGTATTGTATTCAGAGAAACTCCTGTATTGTTTCCTACTTTGTGAAATATATTTTTATAAATATCTTTGTTGTCATTAATTTTTTTTTCAGTCAGTTGAAGATCTATTAACAGAACCATCAACTCTAACTAAAATTCTAGAATACTCAGCCAAATCATTCCAAGGGTCACTTTTGTTTGTAAGAGTCTTTATTATAAAGGAACAGAGGAGAGAAATGGCTTGCCAGTGATCACACAGCAAGATACCAGCAGGGAAATAAAAGGAACATGGAACACCTAAAGTCTAGTCCAACTGTATCATTTGGGTCCTTCTGGAAGCAGATGCACTGGGCAGAGAAAACCTGCAGACAAGTTTGCAGACCTAAAACTTGTAACAATAAAGGGATTGGGAGCAGGATTTGGCAAGAGAGTCTTAGACTGCAGTGCAGACCTGGCAAAATATCTTCCAGCCTGACAGGAGGTTCTAGAGTGAAAACTTATCCATTAAAGCAGTCAGGCTATGGTGCTCCATCATCTCAGTCAGGGGGTTCTGGAGTGAAAATGTATCCATTAAAGCAGTCAGGCTGTGGTCCTCTGTCATCTCAGTCATTGGTGTGGGGCTGCTAAGAAGAGAATGGTTTTTGACTCAAAAACTGAAGGCACCAACTTCTAGAGAGTACCTCCACTGTGACAGAAACAGTATGTTTAAATACTAGATTAAGAATTTATAATTATCCAGTGGCTTAATCAACTTTTTATTGAATTTTTGTTGCTTAGAAAAAGTCATCTTTCATGCTTACTGCTATGGCTAGTGAACACTTTTTCTTGAGGTCAAAGGTATGATCCAACATGACTTTAAAATATACTAGGACTTGGCACAGTGTTTAAAACAAGTGCTTGCTGAATGTAAATTATTAGTGATAGTTGCAGTAATAATCAATAGTAATATTCAACTATCTTACACATTGCAAAGCAAGGAGAGCTTATTATTATGTATTATCCATCTCTTGCACATGAGGCTCATTTTTAGCGTACTTTGAAGTCAAGTGCCCAAAGATTACAGACACACAGATATATCTAACAGAAAAATTACAGTATTTTTTTTTAGGAATATAAAATCTATATCCTCAGATATCGGTATTATTACTACAGTGGTTTCTGTGAACAGGAGATAATGTCTGGTATACAGTTGCCAAAGTAGTGTCTCAATGTTCCCTTTGCCTAAGAAAAGAGAATGACAGCATGAATCTATTTGCTGACTTTCTTTGCCACCACAATGTCTGCATTTTGTGTTTAAAAGCCTACTTCAGGTCTTGTTACATAAAATAAAGTGAGTAGTACCTTGATTCTAATAAGGTTGACCTATACTTTTAGAGTGTCCTGAATCAAACTAAAAATCTCAAGAACTCTCTCTCTCTCTATGTCTCTTTCTCTCTCTCTCTCTCTCTCTCTCACACACACACACACACACCACACACACACACACAAACACTTGACTTAAGGTTTTACTTTAGTAATAGACTTGCCAGGACTTCCCCAACCAAAAGAGATCAATAAGGTTCCTAATATTTTCCAGGATTTAAGTATCCCATGCTCAACTTGTTAAATAACACATTTTATAAACTTTATTGACATTTTAAATCTCTGTGCATTGTGTTCTGTTCCATCAACATTGACATAGCAGAGACAAGAGTACTCTCTGCTAAGTGTAGAAGAATGGATAAGCTGGAACCAAGTGAGACCAAGTTATTTCCCTATGCCTACTTCTCAATTCAAGGTGTCCACCTGGGGAACTGAGGCATCCCTGGGTGATGGGACACAACATGAGATCAATTCAGCCTCTACTCTGTCTATGATTTAATCAAATCGTATTAGCAAAATATCTCCATATATGAATATAAAAGAGTATTAAGGGGGACATTTCTGACAATATTCTGATGAGCACAGTTATTATGTTTCTAAACTTTTATAATAGGATGATTAAAATATACTACTATTAAATTCATGTGTTAACCTTACCAGACAGAATTATGACATCTAGGGTGTGAACTTTAAAGTGAAACTGTTTTGAAAAAAATGTGTAGTTAAGTGTATGTGTATATATAGGAGAAAAGAAAACTGAGATGTACTGGTATCACCAGTGAAGTACGAATGCTTAGAAACAGACAAATGTGTCTTTGGGAGAGTTCGCTTAATCAGATGCTTAAAGTAAGACAAGTCTCTGTGTGAGACTTAGAAATCTCCTAGGAGCAGCCGGATTCCACACTGAGATTCAACAGAGTTCTGGGCTATGCTGTATTTTGGAAAAGGAAAAGCGGGTGCTGAGAGCTAAGTAGCCAATTACTCTTTATAGCCACATAAGGACTGAAGGCAAGTGGGCCCTTCCAACAAGTTGTATTATGCGATCACTGGCTTTGCAGGGAATCTCACGAATGTATAACCTTCTGATTGCCTTTTTGATTGAAAGTTCCATCTGAGATCAGGGCAGTGCAACCAGTAATAAGATTTCAAAAAATCCCATCACTGGCACTGTCGGAAAGGCTGAGCATGACTGAAATTCTATCATTGTCAGTCAAAAAGATAAGGTAACAGCGGGCATCACTATAAAAGCTCTATAAACGCACAACTTAAGCATGAATATCAACATTAAAGGAATATTATATATATCCTTATACATATATTTGTAAAGATATTCATGTATGTAAATATGCACACATATACACAATTAAGATACTGGGGATAATTTATAGTTTTAATTTTTCATCTCATAATCTCATGCACTGCCAAAGAATTGCAATTGTGGCTCTCTGTTTTCATGAATCTAACCTTGAATTTTAAAGAAATTGAATTGAGGGTAAGGGGTTTTAAAAGCAGGTTTTTATTTGTGAACAGAACAATGGCTCATAATACCTGGGATTAGAATTAAATATGTCACATTGTGAGGCTGTACTTAGACTTTTTAAATGTCATTGTATTTTTTGTGGAAAAAATAATTGTAGAATATATTTTGCAGGAAATACTTTTCAATTTTTTTTTTTTTAAATTTCAATGCTGTTTTATTTGCTATACAAAGTTTATTTGTACTATTAGCCAAACAGTGTTGAATGTATTGTTTGCTCTTGTGATTATTGCTTCTTATGATAATTGTAGAAGACTATGTCTTCATGATCTATCATTTAAAAATACATTTATTATCATTGTATTTTTAATCAACACAAATTTATGGATTACACGGTATACTGTTGATATTGAAGATATTCTAGTCCTAGTGTTTTGAGCACAGATCTAGTGTTATGAAGACCATAAAATTTAAAAATTTCATTAGTTGATGGACTATTTAGGAACAAGAATTTTGTCTGCCACATTTATTAAGTATTGATCAGTACAGAAATTAAGCTACATGGTTGATATGGAAAGATTAAATATTGTAGCATTCTCAAACTTATTTTCTTTATTTATAAAATGTGCCTAATCAATCTCTTCAGAACTAATTGTTGAAACTTCCTTTTTTTTTTTTTTTTGGCCTGTGGATAAATAGTATTTGAGCCTGGGCTTAAGTTTGGTTGGTCTGGCACTTAAACCCCTTAACTTTCAACTAAACAATTCTCTCTGTAATGATAATATGAGGCTTTTGATGATAAGAAATAGCAATTAAATCATACATAATGCTATGGAAGTACTGAGGAGGACGTAAGGGACCCTGTATGGAAAGACTCAAGAAGGCTTCACAGTGAAATTTTCTAAAAAGATGGAAACTCAAGAATTGGTGCAATAGAAGTCACAGCTTTTCCAAATACTAAAAGAGAAAATTATAAAAAGCACCAATGGCAAATTTTGAACATTGGAAAGATCCAAAAATTAGGTGTTCATAGAACACTCTAGGTTTGCTAAATTGTGGAGTGTCTTAAGAATAGGAAAAATGAGGTTCAGAAACATTATAAGGAATTTTCAGGATTAAATTACACATAAAATATGTGAGAGAAACACAAATTAAATGGTGGTATTGGGTTCATATCCTGAGTTATAATGTTATAAGTGTTTTTGTATGTATTTTCCTTCCTTTATGTATGGAAGTTTCATATAGGTCTCAAGGTCAGTAGGCATTTTCTGGAGAAAATGGTGCTTTTGGGTACTGCTCGCCCAACTTGAGTTACCTGCCACCATCTAATTCACGTCTTGAATGCAAGTATTATTTCTTGCAAGTACCTCTACTAATAGATAATAGATATTTCTATTACTATCCACAGATTACAGAAGAGGGTTGCTAGGAGGAATGTCACAAGATGCTGTCTGAAGAGAAAGACTGTGGAAAACCATGGCTTCAATGAACTCAGAGGTCAGGACCAGAAAAGGAAATGAGAGGTCACTAAAGCCAAATGTTAATTTCTTGGGATTTCTTCTGTACATGCAAAGAACTCCAGACCATCCTATGATTCCTCATAAATAAGAGAAATATTTTAACAATAATTGTCTAAGATGGGCATGACAATTTAGGAGTCACTGGGACCAATCTCCCCTTTCCAATGTTGCTCTACTTTGACTACAAATATGTCTAATGGTTTTCTAATTTTTCTTTAATTCAACTTCTAAAGTTTGAGAGCTGTGTCATCTTTGTCAAGTCTGATTGTGGAGTATGTAGATGGATGTTTCTGGCATAATGTTAGAGCTATAAATAATGGTATTTCAAATAAACTTTAAAAAAGACCTTTCAATACAAAAATTCTTTTCTATAAATTACATACTAGGTACTATGTTAATAGTACCTTTCTATAAATTACATACTAGGTACTAGAAAAAGGATATGCCCAACATACTTCTCTTGCCTTTCAAGACATGGAGTTAAATTGGATGAATTATAGAAGCAAGTAAGTGATAAAACATTTGATTTTGCTATCCTGTGGAAGAACTAAGCAGACTGTTTTGAAAGCACAGAGAACAAATATTTATCTAAGTCTACCAAGGCTAGGTATCTTGTTTGAGGCTGTGTTAGAATGAGTCTTGGAGGGAAGCAAATTTTACACAGGGAGTATCAAAAAGTAAGGCCAGGCTGAGGTCCTGACACCTGAAAATAAATGGTGATATGAGGGGATCTCTCAATGGGTTTCATTACCTTGTTTCTCAATGTATGAAATTCTCCAAGTTACAAAACAATCAGTATCTTTATTTATTTAAGAAGTATGTACCAAAGAGTTCCCATTCATTTAGATACTGGAAATACAGCACCGAATAGGACAAAAGAGATTTTTTTTTTTTTCCTCAAAGACCTGGTCATGTGGAAGAAATGTAAATGAATAGAAATACAAAAACAAACAAACAAACAAAAACCAAACTTGACATGATAGAACAAATAGATGAAGGAGAAACTAAACGTTTTACTTACAGTGGACAGAATGATATTTGAGCTACAATGTGAAGTTTTTGTGATCAAGGAAAACCATAGTAAAGGGTTTGGAAATGTTTATGTTAATTGCTGTCCTGGAGTGAATCAGTGGCACATACAAGAATGAATATGAGGTCCAGATTATAGTGCATAAAGCTAAAAGAAGCACAACAGATGTGGAAACCTGGGAAGGGACCATATTATCCAGGTTCTTGTCAGCCAAGATAAAGAGCTTAGATTTACTTTATGTGAATGAGAAGGCAATGGAAGAGGCCTAAATGCAGGGGGATGATATGATCTGACTTATATTTTAAAAATAATCACTCTGGCTTTTACATGAAATTCAGATTGTACGAGATGTGAATGAAAGTGGGAAAACCCAGATAGAAGGTTTTTATCATAAGGCAAGGAACATATTGTCTTAACTTTATAGAGTGGTAATACAGATAGAAGAAAGACCCAGAATTCACATATACTTTGGATATAAAATTGGTAGTAATGGTGGTTGCATTACATGCTCAAAATAAAGATGGAATCTAAAAATAACTTCTAGAAGTTTTGGCTTGAACGACTATGTAATTCGTGGGGCCAGTTACAAAGATTAGGAAGATGAGAAGTGGATTTGTTTATCAAAGACTGACATTCTGACTTCTCAATGACAGACAACAGGGAAGGATAACAGAAATCAGAGTCTTGTAATAATTCTTACATGGGGTGTGTTCGAGACTGTATTGGGTTCTTCAGAGACACAGAACCATTTGGTGAAAGAGAGGAATTTTTTTAAGGAATTGGCTCATGAAATTATGGTGGCTGAGGACTCCTATGATCTGTTGTCTGCAAGCTGGAAGAAAACCAGTATTGCAGTTCTGTGTGAGTCCTAAGGGCCAAGGATCAGCGAAGATAAGATGTAAATCCCACTCTGAAGTCAAGAAATGATGAAATAAGATATCCCATCTCAAGCAGTAAGGCAGGAAAAAAGAG